TTTTTTTTTTTTTGGCACTTCCCATCCATATTTCATGGTGACCTGCAGAGGACTGAAGTATTACTCATGTACCATGGGGGTATTAATGACCAACAGCTGCAAGGAGCACCTATGTCCCCATGTTAAATGGGGGAATAATAGACTCCTACAAATTTGGAAGTCACTACAACCCCCTGCCATACAAATGCATCCAAAAATGCATTTAAAAATGGGCTTTGAAAATATTAATTGCATCAACCTGAAGCATTGATGGTACTGATAATGCTGAAGCATACTACTTGATAAAACAGCACCAAAGTTCAGGGCCATATCTAGGATTTCATTTCAGGGGGGGATGAGGTCTGGTGTACACCCTGTGGCTATTTTTTTTATGCTTGTCATTGTAAGTGTTTTTGACATATCTGGATTTTCCTGTAAGTTGCAGTGTTTAATAAGTCATAAGCTATTAAAGATAGAAAAAACCAAGTACTGCACTGTTTACACTGACAAATAGCGGTATGGCAAAAATTTAAGGAAGAAATTTCGGGGGGGGGGTTGACCCCCCTGAACCCCCCCCCCCCCCAAAATACGGCCTTGTCCCTAATCCTGAAATAGGTATATACCATAACCACTGCTTTCGAGTTATAAATGGAAAGGGAAAGGAGAGAGGGATTGGGCTTCATACACCTCGCGCGCCGCCCCATTGCCCTGGCATTTGGCCCAAGAGCTGGAGAGTCTGAGGGGTGGGGGAGGGGTGAGGGGAGGGGGGGGGGGGTAGGAGACACTCTCCAAGCCCTAGCACTAGCGCTTCTTTCAGGGTAGGTACCGCGCGGCCTTAATGCATTTGTTGGAACTTGATCTCGAAAGTATGTTTTTGCATATTTATTTTCGCTGCGAAGGACCATGATACTAGTATATGGAATTACACATTTCTTTCTCATTCACATACGAGAAAAAGAAGACATAAAATATGGGTTTCAACAATTAAAATTCAAATCTTCAACGTAACAACTCAATCGAACAATTTCAGTTCTTGTCATTGAAGGTCACAAGGCAATTTCTGCTTCCCAAATACAGGACTGTCATCAAACCACTTTCTAATGCCTCAATCCTCCATTATCAGGGAAAATCTGAAAAGTTCTTGGTCTCAAAAGGGAACATTTACTTCATTTTCCTATTCCAATTCATCTACAGAGCCACATAGGCCAAGTAAGTGGACCCGGTCGAAAGCTACGCCTTAATCAACCCAAGTTGCATTTATCTAGTAGTAATTTTAAGGAAAAGTCATAGACTTGAAACCATAATTTTTTACAGTAAACATTTTTTCTCTCAGAGGGGAGAACCATGATGAGTGCCGACGAATGTTAACAATAGGTTAATGCATTAGCCTTTTAGGAAGAACTTCACATGTTTTGACGATCGTGAGGGAAATACGGTGCTGCGGAAGTCAAAAATTATTTAATACCGGGTAAGTTTGTCGCAAGCAACAATAAATTCTAAGTAAATGTTCAGATGGAGAATGAAGTTGGTCAAACCCAGTCCACTAGTGGGCCTCCATTTAGTTAATTTAAACCCTAATTTTGTCGCCTAGTTGAATAAAGTGTAATTTCTTTCCAGTCTTCGACCAACAAAAAACCTCGTTTTTAATGACTAATTGGAAACCATTGGCAGACGTTGCCCATGAAACGGTGATGGGAAAATGGAGGGCTGTACGTCGTTGGATCCATCCGCCACGAAGGTTGGTCGGGAAGTGACAGCTCTGTTGCTGACACGGCGCCGCGCCCAAAGCCTGGGACGTACCCCCATGCCCATTGTGGTCCAGAACCTGAAGGGCGAACGGATACTCGTGCCTTCCCCTCCGTGACCAAATTTCAAATCCCAAAATGTGCAATAAAAATGCAATTTTGATGCAAATTCACAAAAAACGAACTCAACCTGTATCTTGTTCATTTCTATCGCCTTGACATTTTTAGTATTGATCAGGCTATTTTCTTTTTATCGTAGGACAACCAAAGTTTGACACACGGACACACGAACACACGGAGGGACAAGACGGAACCATAAGTGGTCTCTTTCCTTTCAGAAAAGAATGCCCACTAAAAAGATTGTCATCAGAAGATAGCTAGAGGAGACCAGGAAGATTCAAATGAGTGAAAAAAACCGCCTCAATTTCGCGACACTACAACTCGCCATCCCAATGAGGTCACGTTTCATGGGCCGAAAGCAACAGCAACCATGGCAACGCACGGCGTCAACAGATCGATCTTTGAAACTTACACGTTTGCGTCGTGGGGGATCCCAAGAGGTTCTAGGCACGTTTCTAATAAGACCTACTGTTCTCAAGTGCACTCGATCTTCCCCACTAGACGTCGAGGGACATTTGAAGAGTTTTTGCTCCACATATAATGAGCATTTTCTCCATTCTCCTCTTCCTACTCGTCCAAGAGGCCGTCTTTGCCAAATACATGCTCCTGCCTGGAAACTACATTGGTAAAAACTCAATCACCGAATTCCCGGAATGGAAATCGTGCAGATGTGCAAAAGCCTGCGACAAGTATACGGAAATCCGTGGTCATTTTACACTTCCTGGTAACATTCCAGTGATACTTTTTTTTCCTCATTTCAGGGAAGAAAGGTGCCAAGGGTTCACCCTGAAGAAGGGTGATGGTAGTTTCATTTGTCAGCTCCTCTCCAAGAACTCCACAATTGCAGTAGATCCTGATAAAACATCCAGGGTCTCTCTTTCAGGTAAGGGTTCCACCTTGTCCAAAGGATCCATGAAGGAGAGTACCAATACGCATTCGCCCATTTACACCTGTATCATGTACATGCGCGAGCAACATCACATATTCAACCTGTATACCTCGTATATGTCGTAGGGTTTCGTGGGATGGATTAATGAAATGGCGAATGGATAACTGACTGGATAAGCTGACTCCCCAGCAGTAAATTCTACAAAATAAATTAATTAAGAGAAGATCGCTGACGTTATGGTAATCAATCGTAGTTGTAGATAGGGTTGGAAACGATACAACGACCAGAAAATGCGATTTGTCAGTAAAGGACTGGCATTGCTTCCTTTTCCTTCCCCATGTATTAAGAATTGCTATTCCTATCTACGGACATTTGTACTGCTATTCAAGGAATATAACTTTAAACCTAAATCTTTTCACCATATTCTCATGTTCTCAACATCTTCCNGACCAAGTACTGCACCATTTACACCGACGAATAGCAATATGGCAAAAATTTAAGGAAGATATTTCGGGGGGAGGGGGTTTGAACCCCATGAACCCCCCCCCCCCCCTAAACACGGCCTTGTCCCTAATCCTGAAATAGGTATATAGCATAACCACTGGTTTCGAGTTATAAATGGAAAGGGAAAGGAGAGAGAGATTGGGCTTCATACACCTTGCGCGCCGCCCCATTGCCCTGGCATTTGGCCCAAGAGCAGGAGAGTCTGATGGGCGGGGGGGGGGGGGGACACTCTCCAAGATCTCCAAGCCCTAGCCCTAGCGCTTCTTTCAGGGTGGGTACCGGGCGGCCTTAATGGATTTGTTGTAACTTGATCTCGAAAGTATGTTTTTGCATATTTATTTTCGCTGCGAAGGACCATGATATATGGAACTACACATTTCTTTCTCATTCGATAACACACTCACGAGAAAAAGAAGACATAAAATATGGGTTTCAACAATTAAAATTCGATTCTTCAACGCAACAACTCAATCGAACTATTTCAGTTCTTGTCATTGAAGGTCGCAAGGCAATTTCTGCTTCCCCATTACAGGACTGTCATCAAACCACTTTCTAATGCCTCAATTCCTCCATTATCAGGGCAAATCTGAAAAGTTCTTGGTCTCAAAAGGGAACATTTACTTCATTTCCCTATTCCAATTCATCTACAGTGCCACATAGGCCAAGTAAGTGGACCTGGTCGAAAGCTACGCCTGAATCAACCCAAGTTGCGTTTATCTAGTAGTAATTTTAAGGAAAAGTCATAGACTTGAAACCATAATTTTTTACAGTAAACATTTTTTCTCTCAGAGGGGAGAACCATGATGAGTGCTGAAGAATGTTGACAATAGGTTAATGTATTAGCCTTTTAGGAAGAACTTCACATGTGTTGACGATCGCGAGGGAAATACGGTGCTGCGGAAGTCAGAAATTATTTCATACCAGGTAAGTTTGTCGCAAGCAACAATAAATTCTAAGTAAATGTTCAGATGGAGAATAAAGTTGGTCAAACCCGGTCCAGTAGTGGGCCTCCATTCAGTTAATTTAAACCCTAATTTTGTCGCCTAGTTGAACAAAGTGTAACTTCTTTCCGGTCTTCGACCAACAAAAAACCTCGTTTTCAATGAATAATCGGAAACCATTGGTAGACGTTGCCCATGAAACGGTGATGGGAAAATGCAGGGCTGTACGTCGTTGGATCCATCCGCCACGAAGGTTGGTCGGGAAGTGACAGCTCTGTTGCTGACACGGCGCCGCGCCCAAAGCATGGGACGTACGCCCATGCGCATTGTGGTCCAGAACCTGAAGGGCGAACGGAGACTCGTGCCTTTCCCTCCGTGACCAAATTTCAAATCCAAAATGTGCGATAAAAATGCAATTTTGATGCAAGTTCACAAAAAACGAACTCAACCTGTTTCTTGTTCATTTCTATCGCCTTGACATTTTTAGCATTGATCAGGCTAATTTTTTTTTATCGTAGGACAACCAAAGTTTGACACACGGACACACGAACACACAAGGGGGGACAAGACGGAACCATAAGTGGTCTCTTTCCTTTCAGAAAAGAATGCCCACTAAAAAGATTGTCATCAGAAGATAGCTAGAGGAGACCAGGAAGATTCATATGAGTGAAAAAAGCGCCTCAATTTCGCGACGCTACAACTCGCCATCCGAATGAGGTCACGTTTCATGGGCCGAAAGCAACAGCAACCATGGCAACGCACGGCGTCAACAGATCGATCTTTGAAACTTACACGTTTGCGTCGTGGGGGATCCCAAGAGGTTCTAGGCACGTTTCTAATAAGACCTACTGTTCTCAAGTGCACTCGATCTTCCCCACTAGACGTCGAGGNACCTACTGTTCTCAAATGCACTCGATCTTCCCCTCTAGACGTCGAGGGACATTTGAAGGGTTTTTGCTCCACATATAATGAGCATTTTCTCCATTCTCCTCTTCCTACTCGTCCAAGAGGCCGTCTTGGCCAAATACATGCTCCTGCCTGGAAACTACATTGGTAAAAACTCAATCACCGAATTCCCGGAATGGAAATCGTGCAGATGTGCAAAAGCCTGTGACAAGTATCCGGAAATCCGTGGTCATTTTACACTTCCTGGTAACATTCCAGTGATACTTTTTTTTCCTCATTTCAGGGAAGAAAGGTGCCAAGGGTTCGCCCTGAAGAAGGGTGATGGTAGTTTCATTTGTCAGCTCCTCTCCAAGAACTCCACAATTGCAGTAGATCTTGATAAAACATCCAGGGTCTCCCTTTCAGGTAAGGGTTCCACCTTGTCCAAAGGATCCATGAAGGAGAGTACCAATACACATTCGCCCATTTACACTTGTATCATGTACATGCGCGAGCAACATCACATATTCAACCTGTATACCTCATATATGTCGTAGAGTTTTGTGGGATGGATTAATGAAATGGCGAATGGATAACTGACTGGATAAGCTGACTCCCCAGCAGCAAAGTCTACAAAATAAATTAATTAAGAGAAGATCGCTGACGTTATGGTAATCAATCGTAGTTGTAGACAGGGTTGGAAACGATACAACGACCAGAAAATGCGATTTGTCAGTAAAGGACTGGCATTGCTTCCTTTTCCTTCCGCATGTATTAAGAATTGCTATTCCTATCTACGGACATTTGTACTGCTATTCAAGGACTATAACTTTAAACCTAAATCTTTTCACCATATTCTCATGTTCTCGACATCTTCCTTGTTCATTTTGTTTATTTAAACTTGGATTGAATGAAACCTATCTTTATGTTTTAAAATATTGTTCGATATCCAGTAACCAATTCTGAATTCTCCTTATTAAAAAAAAAAGTTCCCAAGAGTGACTACAAGAACAATATTCATATTGTAATTTGAATATTAGACGCATAATTAGCCTGGAAATATATCACCTCAATTCTTTTACGTCCGAAAAATGAATGTCTCAATCCCACGCTTTAATTTAATCCTTCATTTCCTACATCATTACTACTGAAACATGTGAAATCCCCTGTCTTGCAATTCAGAATGTTCACCTCAGCAAAAAATGGAAATCATTGCCGAAAAAGCGCTTCTCGGGTGTTGCACTGCGCAAGATAATTTCACATGAGTAAACAATTAGAATCAATCTCGTGCATCGCTCAAGATTTCCGAAGAGTTGTGAGGGAGTCAGTACAGTCACGGATCTTCTTCGCAAATAATTTGACAAAGCTTTCACGTACATGGTACATTTATGCAAACATTGACCTCACAATTTTTTTGGCCTTCAAGAACTATACAATAGTTTACGCAAAAAGAACGTCAGAGATATAGTGTCAACAAGCTAGGAGCTTCTATGTCCAAGATGTTTCATTTCTTCCTTTCAGAAACAATTGCTCCAAAAGAATTCGAATTTGCGATGGTCACAGGGAAAATTCACTTTCTGAGAGCGATGGGGAAAGGACAATTCCCGAAAGCAAGGAGCACTTGCAAAGGCGAAGGTTTGGCTCACCTCGTCATGGACGATCGAGGTCAAGAGTGGCACGATTACGTCCTTGAATTCATGGAGTCGCATTTCCCATCCCAAGACAAGTTTTGGATCGGAGCTGACGACACGGATTGGAATTCTGAGCACTCCTGGGATGATGGTGAGGATGATTATCGATTTTAGGATCATGAATGGTCGTTGAACTTATTTTTGTTCAATTGGTGGCAAAGAGAACGGGAGATTAAGGTTCTACCGAATGTGGATATAGTTTCTCTGCTGCCTATATGATGAATCCTAGTATAAAGGCAATTAAATTGTCCCAGCAAACTTGACATGCTCATATACCAATGGAATAGAAGAACTGATGAATATTCCATGCAAGCTGACTTCACGCACTATCAGATTGTATTCGTTGCAGAAACATTGGTGGCTGATTCAATGAAGACCTTCTGGCTTCCGGGAGAGCCTAATTTCAAGAAGGGAAAACAGGATGAGAGATGTGTCGCGATGGTGAAGTCTCCAGAGTCTCCAGGGGGGATGTGGGAGGATGTCTCCTGTTTCGAAACCCTGCCTATCACCTGCGAAGTCCGTTTCCCCTAACTCCTACCCCAGAAACCCGCGAAAGATGTGAAGGTAGCTCTTAGTATTTGGGGAGTTTTCTTGTGGGAAAAGGAATTACACATAATTCTATTCACACTGTTGTTGATGAGTTATTGAATTTGAAGTCAGAGAGTTTACATTCTACTATTTCATGTATAGGGGAATGTGTTACTGTCGAAACTTTTTATTTCTCTTATGGCCGAATGCCTTGCCTTTGTTTCGAATAGGGGTTTGTAAAACGTATCAGATGTACTTGCACTGAATAATGTATGTCTAGTTAGCTCCATGTAATTTTCCCCCTTTCTTCTCCCGGAAAAATTGAGTTGAATTGGTATGAAAGTCATGCTTAGGAGAAGATATTTTGACCGCTTTCGAAGGAAGTGTAGATATGAAACGACTTGGTTTGTAAAGCCTAGTCTATTTCCTGGTGGTTTTGAAAAATGTGAACTCAGTCGTGGAGCACTTACTAACAGAAGGACCAATAAACTTAGAGGATAAAAACAGAAAAATTTCTTATATAGTTTATTTCTGTAAAAATGCTATTCTCCCCTCCAAGCTATGACCAATTTCAAAGTGGATACAAAAAAAGGCCTGATTCTTAAACATGGAAAATATATTAATGTTAATGTGATGCACAACATCTGTTCCAACATCCCAGTTGCAAGAATTAAGAAATCGACCAATTAATTAACGCTGATAGGTGTTTGACATACATATGTTCGTTTCCGTACCAAGTCGTAGAATCATTTTTTTAATTATCAGTTTCCTTTCCTTAGTGCCTATTAGGTGCAATAACGTTAATTGAACGTTAAGCAACGATAGCTGTTTCTTAATCTTGCTAGACCTAATCATTCTATATTTGGATTGTTCCAACTGTCAATTGAAACATGAGCGCATATATAAAAGACGTCATGACCGTAGGGCGAGGCTGACCTTCATCCCTTTGCTTTTTGTTCTCAATGAGCATATTACCTTTTTCGTGATTCCCGATTTGTATCGATGATTTAATGCCTAAAACTTTGAGAGTGCTGGAGTCGGTTCCGCAACTGCTAACCTCACGGTTTTGCAACTCTCCCCAAAAATTTGTATCATATCTGGGAGATTTGTATCATGACTGAGTTCATGAGGCCTAATAATTATACACGGATGACCATTGGCTCGCCTATATTGTTATGATGGAGATTTTTCGTCCTGGTTTATTGTGGTCATGGGAAAAGACTTTAATTACCTGATAGAAAAGGGGAAGAGGATCATTTCATGCTGACTGGAATTCTTTGTTGGCCTCCGTGGTGGACTAAGAGAACCTTTTACATTTCAAACAATTATCGAACTTTGTATTATTTCGGCTCTGTTCAAATGGAATATGTCAATCCTACTCATGATTCATGGTATTTTTCTAGCGAGGATGCAAAGGAAGCTATATGCCGTGAGTTGGGTGGAATGTTCATGCATTGAAAATTTACAAAGGAATCCTGAATAAAGATTTTTTCCCAATAAACTTTGACTGCGCTTCAATCTTGTCGCACCGAAAAACACTAAAAAGGATCTGCATCACGTACATCAATGGGTGCGGTTGCACCCATCACCTTTCTTCAACTCCTTCCACCGAGAGAAAATTCAAACGTCTTGTGGTCCTCCTCCTCTGTTGTTTGGATCTTCTCTTTCTAATGTAGGAGACATTATTGCGCTGAATTCATGGGATGAGCTGAGGCTGAAACTGTGGTTTGCAGTGGCTGATAGATTTGGTGGAATACAGAGATATCTCATCCAACATCCATAATTACCATGATGGCGGCCTGCTTGTATGCCATGCTTTCTAAAGGCATTATCTTCTCGAAACTAGTCCAGACCGCACGAAGAACTCTTGATAGGCCTAATGTTCCTCGACCGGTCTGAAATGGTTCATGAAACTCAAGGAATACCTGCATTCGGTTTAACGTTACACGCACTCTTTAAATGGGCCATGAGAAAGAGAGAATTAGAATGCAATTGGCCTAACGTTACACGTCCTCAACAAGGTGTCTCGAAGAGCAGGGATTAATCATTGTTGGCCTAATTGGTCCGTAGGTTGAGGGTTGAGTTTCTTTTGAATGGAAAAAGGTAGGCCTAGCCCTGACTCGAAGACAGTCCGACGGTAAGGCCTAGGCCTAATTGGCCCTGTTAGTCGAGAATTGTGTTTCTTTTGTGACTCGTGGAATATGGCAGGTGCGCAATGATTTATGCAACATTCTACCTTTCCCCAGAAAAAAAATTGTTAAGACCATGTGGGAGGCAACTCTATGCCTAATTATTTTGAAGGTAAAAATCCTGAATGACAATTCCTTTCCCCGGACCTTGATCACACTACATTTTTCCCCTTCGAGAACATGCAACAAATTATCACATACCAGGCAGAGATGTTGCAAGAGAATGGAATAAGAGTCATGTGAGCTTTTCTCTTCAGACGCGATAGCATGCTTACACACTAGCCCATGTCTAACTATCTCCATAAAGCACCCCACCATTGCTGCCTCTATGTGAGAAGAGGAGAAGATGGACATCAAGGTGCTGAAGGAGTGAATAGGATTTTCTTTCTGCATGGAATGAGTTTGGCCAATAATTCTGATGTGTCATATTGAACTTGTGTGTGGATACCGCTTGCTGCCTAGCCCATGAGATAAGAAAAGCCCTCTCGTACATTGTACTCGTTTGACCACAGCAAAGACAGAAAAATAAAAGTTATTGACTGTTGTTCTCCAGCCTGAAGAAGATGCAATAGTTGTAGTTGCATGTGGCTGACAACATGACAATATCTGTCAAACGCTTATCCCGTTTCAAAGTAGGGGAAGGTAGGGCAAAATGGGCCGAAGGGTAAAACGGGACAACGCAGATTTTAACCACACTATACCCGATATCTAGCGGCTATTTACCCCATCATAAGCGCCCATGACCGGTGCAAATTTTCAGGCACGGCTGCGCTCTTTAAAGTAGTTTTATAAACACACGAAGAAAAATAAGAAAACTTCGTCTTTTCTAATTTTGCTTCGAGTTTTTTCATCAGCGAAACAAAGTAACAATGTAGCGTTGGGGGCTTCCGATATTTTTTCTGGCTGAAGGTGAAAATATGATCTATTGCATGAAGCCATCATTTTTTGCATAGCTCACTAACCTCTTGATTGGCAGTGTCTTTACTATAGACGGTGCTGATGGGGCAAAACTGGGTAACGGTGAGGGGGCAAAATGGGGCGGTATAGCAGCTCTATATATATATATATATTCTAGTCTGGCTGGAACATCCATCACAATGGTGAGGCTCAGGCCAACGCGATGTGTTACTGCTCAGATTCTTTCTCTCGCTCAAAACGCAGTGGAGGTTGGGGTCACCGGAATTCAGCTCATGACAGTTGTGCAGGCATGGAACACGAAACGGATATGGACGTGTTTTTCTGTGACATCAGTAAATTTACATCTATGCTGAAAATGAGGATGCTAATTCTCAAGGTTTCTTATCGATTCTTTACAGAAATCTTAACTTCAACCATTTCGCAACATTTAAAACTTTCGTTAATGTTGAAACAGCGTAGTTTTGCCGAAGGGGCACTTAATATCTTTATTAGATATTAGATTTATAACATTTCATATTTTTCAATGTTGGCGGCTTTTATCTTTGGCTTTCGCGAAAACACCAGCATGAGGGTTTTCTGACTATAAACTAGAGCATACTTCGGGGCAAAACCCAACCACGTATCTGTCAAAACATGACACATATCGATACAACTCCATAATAACTGGAAATTGTTGGAGAATGTAGTCATTTGAAGTCCAGAGGACCATTATCTATTAGCATACCTCTGCTCTGAGACATTGACCAAAACTTTGGATTACAACGCTATGAAAAAGAGGAATACTAAAAATGGTTGTACTGTGGTCAAGGGCTCGTTCGCGTGGTAACAGTGACGTTCGTAGTATTGGTTTTTCCTCCATGGAAAGAGCATTAAAAACTCACAGGGAGAGTGGAACGAAAAATATACTGAAGGTATCGACTTCCTCGGCTATGGCGGTCGAGCGGAAGAAATATTTATGTTCCACATGATTGACGGCGTCTCTACTTTCCCAACTTCTCCCCTGTGTGCACAAGAGGAATGTGCCAGGATTGTACGTGATTTATTATACTTATTTTCTTCCCATGAAAGTTTAGTAGGCCATGTGCATGGTGCGATGAGATGCTCATGCTGAATTCTTTCCAAAGACATCATGATTAACATATTTTTTTCCACAGACAACAAACTTTTTCTTCCTCCAAAAACCTAGAACCTTTGTTTCTTTGTGCTATCTTCTGAAACTCGTTGCCAGCTAAATCTGAGTCTGGGGTAGAAAAAATCTAAATGTGTTTGTCGTCATTTCATCCCGAATTTGTGTCTTTGCAGATTTATTCCCGCTGTGCAAGGCAATGATGCACGGGAAAACATACTTCTTTATTTTTCGATTACTCACACTCGACAAAAAAGACGTAAAATAGGGCTTAGAATATCTCATTTCAATTCAGCAAAGAATCGACTTTAAAAATCAATTATCTATTCTAGTTCTTGTCATTGAAAGGCCACAGTAATTTCTGCTTCCCACAACGAGCCATCACTCACCATTCTCTAAAGACTCATTCATCCACTATCAGGGAAAATCTCAAAAGTTTTCGCCTCAAAAGGGAAAATTGACGTCATTTTCCTTCGCCAATTCATCTTAAGTGCCACACTGGTCGAGTAATTGCTCCTGGCTGAAAGCTACGCCTGAATCATCCAAAGCGGTGTTCATCAAGAACGGAAAAAAATGTAGGTAATACTCTCCGGCGCCAAATAATTTTTGTGATGAGTCATCAACGTGAGCAACCTTTCTTTTTTTTAAAGGAAACAATTTTCCTTCAGAGGGTGGGATCGTTATAAGTGCTTACTCTGAAGAATGTTGACAAAAGGTTAAAGAATAAGCCTTTTAGGAAAAACACCACCTTCGCTGATGATCGTGAGGGAGGTAAGGTGATGTAGAATGGAAATAAGAAATGTCTTCTTACTATTTAAGTTTAGCGGGGGTCTTTAATAAATCATAGGTTAATATTCAGATGAGGGAGAATGAGACATGTCATAAGAGTATATCTAGAGGAGACCAGGAATGATTTAAATGAGTGAAAGAAGCGCCTCCATTTCGCGACACTACAATCCGCCATCCCAATGAGGTCACGTTTTATGGACTGAAATGAACAGCAACCATAGCGACGCACGCCGTCAACAGATCGACATTTGAAGCTCATACGTTTGCGTCGTGGGGGAACGCAAGAGATTCGAGGCGCATTTCTAATAAGACCGACTGTACTCAAGTTCGCTCATTCTTCCCCTATATGTGACGTGCGAAATTTAAAAGTTCTCGCCTCACAAAATGAGCAGTGTCTCCTTTCTCTTTTTCCTACTTGTCCAAGAGACCGCATTACCCAAATACGTGCTCTTACCTGGAAACTACGTTGGAAACAACTCATCCAGAGAATTCTCGGTGTGGGAATCGTGCAGATGTGCAAACGCCTGTGACAAGTATCCGAAAATCTGTGGTCATTATACTTTCTGTTAACAGTTGAGTTTGAAATTCCCATTTTTTGTCTCCTTCAGGGAACAACGGTGCCTAGGGTTCCCCCTGAAGAAGGGTGATGATAGCTTCATTTGTCAACTCCTCTCCAAGAACTCCACATTTGCTGTTGACCCTAATAAAACATCCAGGATCTCTGTTTCGGGTAAGGGTTATAGTTAGCGCTTTTCGGGTATTTGCATTGCACATACATGATTTGGCATGTGTGGATAAATTTAATAGAACACATGTATGTAGCGAGGCTGTCAATACAGCTCCCGATCTTCTCCGTAAATGATTTAGCAAAGCATTCGGTAAACATGTAAGCATTGCTCTCATCATCAGACTTCAAGTACTATAGTTTATGCAACAAGAATGTCATAGATATAGTGTTAACAAGCTAGGAGCCTGTGTATCCAAGGTGTTTCATTCCTTTCCTGCAGAAAAAATTGCACCAAAAGAATTCGAATTTGCGATGGTCACGGGGAAGATTCACTTTCTAAGAGCGATGGGAGTAGGACCATACCTAACTGCAAAGACCAATTGCAAAAGGCGAAGGTTTGGCTCACCTCGTCATGGACGATCGAGGTCAAGAGTGGCACGATTACATTCTTCAATACATGGAATCGCATTTTCCATCCCAAGACAAGTTTTGGATCGGAGCTGGCGACATTGATTGGGATGACCAATTTTCTTGGGTTGAAGGTGAGTATGATTATTCACATTAGGATCATATGTGGGTGTTTGACTTTTCTTTTGCTTCATGGGTGTCAAAGAAAACCGGAGATTCCATACAGGCTGACCTCACACACTTTCGGATTGCTTTCGTATCAGACACATTGGTGGCAGATTCAATGAAGACCTTCTGGCTTCCGGGCGAGCCGAATTTCAAGGATGGATCACAGCAAGCGAGATGTGTCGCGATGGGGAAGTCTCCAGAGTCTCCAGGGGGGATGTGGGAGGATGTCGCCTGTACCAAAACCCTGCCTATCACCTGCGAAATCCGTCTCCCCTAACTCCTTCTCAATAAACGAGTTAAACATGTGAAGGTAGCTCCTTATATTGGGGGGTTTCTTTTGGGAAGGGAATTACAAATGATGAATTATATTTACCCTGTTGTTGAAAAGCTTTTGACGTCGGAGAATTTATGTTCTACTAGTCGACAGGAAAATCCATTTTGGAATTTTACAAGTGATTTGAAAACATTTTTGAATCGTCAAAATGAGTGAAAAACAAGTGCATTTGCGTCATGTGATGCGTTATGAGTTTAAAAAAGGATATAATGCCACAAATGCAGTAAAAAACGTTCGTGATATGTATGGAGAAAGTGCTTTAGCTATTCGAACCTATCAAAAGATTTACAAGAGATTCTGCGAGGGTAATTTTAGCATGAAAGATGACCTACGCTCTAGACCAATATTCCAAAGTTGATGACAACAGAAATCGGACTTTCATCGAAAACAATCCAGGGCAGACATCAAGAGAGGTTGCAGAGATACTTGGGATATCGAAATCAAATGTGCCCAAACATCTGAAGAACACGGGGATTTTCATTATGTACGACGTTTCGCTCCAACATCTGCTCACGGATAGGAATTTAATGGGGTGAGTTTCTGCATGTGTTTCCTTTCTCGGTTGTATGGAAAATGAGATATTATTGGAGAAAGTAGTGACAGGAGATGAAACATGAGATGCCTGCGTTTGGTGGGATTTCAAGGGAATCTTCTACTATGAGCTGCTCAGCTCCAGCGAAATCATCAATGCGGGGAAGTATTACACCCAACTGGAGAATTCGAAGCAGGCGATTGTCCGTAAACGTCCAGCTCTGGCGAATAGGAAAGAGGTAGTTTTCCATCACGACAACACGCGACCGCATGTGACCATACGAACAGAGGGAAATGAACGGAGTTGAAATGGGATGTGCCCATTCACCATCCTTATTCTCCTGACATTGCCCCATCAGACCATCACCAGTTCAGGTTTCTTCAAAACTCTGTCAACAACAAGATCTTCCAACGATTTGAAGATGTCGAAAACCACTTAGAATATTTTTTTTTAATTAAAACCTTAAATGTTTCATCAAGATGGCATCGTGCAAATACCAAGGAGATGAGAAAAGGTTATTAAACAAGGGGAAACAAGGGTATTGGTCACGACAACCAGTAACTGGTACATATAAATGAAACCAAAAGTTTCTGCTTTGCAAGTTATTATAAAAATGCTGTGAGAGTAAACTGCGATACATGTGAATGATAACGCGAGAATATGGTTCATGCGACTATAAACGGCTTGAGGAAGAGTGGAATCATGTGATCGAAGGACGTCTATGGGAAGGATCGTTGAAGATCTTAATGATCCATTTCGGGTTTGGCCTGTAATCCTCTGCATGCCATTCTTTGGCAACTGACCAGATTAAGAATTCTTTCTCATTATAAATGTTACTACCAACTCTAATGCTATCAGGAAGGGCAGGAACAGACCTTTCAAAAGATCTATAAACCAACTCTCTACCTTGAAGAGAAGTTAAAAGCATTTTCAGGGACAAAGGTGCTGAAAGGTAACAAAGCAGACATCATCTTTAGAGCGTATTATCTTGCCTATGACCCTATATCGACTTCTCCGGCTATGGTGGTCCAGTAGAAGAAATATCTAAATTCCAGATGATCGATGGACTTTCCATGCTTCCTGCTTCTCGCCCTGTGTGCACAAGCGGAATGTGCCTGGATCGTCCGTGACTCATAAAACTTCCTTCCAGGAAGTGAAGTAGAGCGTGTGCAGGGTCGGATGAGAAGCGTCTTTCTGAAGACATCCTGAATAGCATCATCTTCTCCACTGATATCGAGCTCAATACCCATTTTAGAGGGAGATGACTCCCTCTAAAAAACAAAGAACGCAAGAAATAAAACCCAGTCTCAGATGAATTACTTTTCGCCTTTTCTGAGAAAGATTTGGGATTCGTCGAGGTACAAGATAACGACACATTGACGCAACGCGTTGGTGTTGTCCTTACAACTGCAAACATGGACCGCAGTCCACGTGTATACATTTTTTTCAAAAGGTACGAAATATAGCGTTATATTTCATGGCGGTCGGGTCGATATAGCTTCATTGCAAGGAAAAAAAAAGTTTGAATAATTTATATATGAGCAGTCTAGCCTGGAGTCCATGCGAACGCCTCTTCCGCGTTTCCGGAGTGGGAATTTCGGGGTAACCAGAATTTTGGGAAAATTCCTCTCGAAGTGCAATTCCAACAATTCCAAGTTCTGGAATATATTAATTGGGAAACCTAATTACTATGCAAGTCCAGTATTCCATCTTACTAGATGAGACACTGGCGCCATGCACTAGCTTCATTTCCTGGGTGCAAATTATAGACTTGGATGCGAAACGAGTGGGAAAACCTTGATGTCATCCCCATTTTCACTTGAAAGTGTAAAAGATTGGGACGCTCAGACAAAGGAAAACGAGAATTATGATGCAACATCAAGGACTCAATCGATGAAAGCATGGAAAAGCTAAAGGCGTAATCAGAGTCGGTGCGAGTGTCTGCCTCTCATCAAATTAAAAATGGCTTAAGGCTATGAGCACGTACAGCGAAATATGGCCCCAGTATCTCCGGTCGGAATTCATTGTGGACGGACGCGTCGATTCCGAATATTCGCTGAGGAAGGCGAAGGGTACAGTCTATAAGGCATCACATTATTCCTGAGTATTGAGACCTGCTGAAGTGCTGAAGTCTCGTTCCAGCACCAAGGCTTTAGGAATCGAATTGTTAACCCGTTGTCAACGCCTGTTAACACCTGTTGCTGTTAACGCCTACGTACGCTGAACGGTTACCGAGATGAAAATTTTGCCGTTCATGGGGTTTCTCCGTTTTCCCCCAAATTTCGGGGGGGGGGGGGAATCTATCAAAATTCAGATCAGATGAAGGTGATTCTTTTTTTTATTACAGGGTTGTTAGATTGACTGCAATCGCTGAGAATTTTAATCAGCAAATCCGGATTGGTGAAGCGCACTGCCTGCTGGAGTTCATATGGAAGGTCCTCGTGATCCTCTTCTGCCTAGAAATAAACTCGTCGTATCATAGATTCATCCAGAATAAATGATCAAAATCGTAACATACAGGCAACCTCTGGAGAATCTTATCTCCCACCAATAATAGATTTGGGGTGAAGCCATCCGCATGGCCGCATGCCAATTTCTTTTAGAATGAAGATTGTTTCGGCCACGTGTTGAGTTGCCTTGATCAGAGAAATACCTGGAATTAAACTTTCAAAATGCAAAAATACTTGTTATAATGCATTAATACAGTAATAAGAAGCTGCCGCTCAGGTGTCCATTTGAAAGAACGTACTTAAACTTGATTCTTCCTGATGACAGGGGATTCATCGATATATCGGATTGCGTTACTTTGTGCCAACGAAAATTTCATACAAGATGTGTAACTTCTTGATCCGATTTTCTTAGAAAAGGGAAAATGGCTGTTTCGAGTCAAAAGGGCCCGGTTAAACGTACGAAAGACACGATGAGTTTTTTGTGGAAAGGTTGGATGAACATCCCCGAAGGTGCATCTTCACCCCGAGACGCCAAACGCGCCTCGACTGCAATGCCCTGGGGGGGGGGGACATTCGCTTTCTCCTTATTGATGCTGGCGGGTCAGAGTTGAGGCGGCTGGTCGGGTTGGAGGGAGAAGGGCCTGCACGATTCCCCATCGGGTTGGCGGGAAGCGAATTTGCTTGGGCTCGTCGAGTGCCTGGGTTCCGAGTGATTCGTCGGTAAAATCGAGAAGCGGAGTTTCAGAGTTAATGTGGCTGTTTCTTGTGGAATTTGAGGCGGTGAAGGCGAGAATGCACGAATTGTTGCGGGAATAGATTTCCCTCTAAGTCGTCATTGTGGCTCTGTTCCTTTTACAATTTGTCTCCAGTGAGTCATTCTCGTGCAGTTTTCGATGCAGGGTGTTTCCTAATTCGTCTGCACTTCGATGGCGACGGGAAAAGATTTCTCAAATGCTAGAGTCCGAGCAGTTTTCCCTTTTCGCGTCTCCAGTAAGACGCCATTGTAGGCGACGCCTTCTCTCCGAATATTCTCGGGAACGAGACAAAGAAATCCTCTATAAAGCACGGAATTATCATATTCCTTGCTATTCCGACGCCATGACCGCATCTCGAGGACAAACGGATTTTGCGTGCAAGGTCGGCATGGAAGAAATTGGAACGGAAAGCCGTCTTCGTTTTCGCCGTTTCCACCTGTAAGCAATCCTTTCCCGCTTCATCAACGGTTCGGAAACGAGATTCCTCACCGTATTCACATATTCAAACACATTATACGATGATTGTAAGACTGTCGGGAAACTGCGAACTTTATTCTCTCTCTCCGATTCTTCATAAGGATATTGACGGGATTACCGAATCTCATTCAGGGTCGGTCAGGTTTGTCGGCAAAAGGGGGGAGGGGGTGGAATGGGGGTGAAAGGGTGCGGGGGGGGGGGGGTCGCCTGTTTTGGATTAGGATTCGCTCGGGTCAACTTAGTGATAGTGAGTAAGATTATTCACATTAGGATCATAAATGGGCGTTTGAATTTTCTTTTGCTTTATGGGTGTCAAAGAAAACCGGAGATTCCATACAGGCTCACCTCACACACTTTCGGATTGCTTTCGTAGCAGACACATTGGTGGCAGATTCAATGAAGACCTTCTGGTTTCTGGGCGAGCCGAATTTCAAGGATGGATCACAGCAAGCGAGATGTGTCGCGATGGGGAAGTCTCCAGAGTCTCCAGGGGGGATGTGGGAGGATGTCGCCTGTACCAAAACCCTGCCTATCACCTGCGGAATCCGTTTTCCCTAACTCCTTCTCAATAAACGAGTTAAACGTGTGAAGATAGCTCCTTGTATTGGGGGGTTTCTTTCGGGAAGGGAACTACAAATGATGAATTATATTTACCCTGTTGTTGAAAAGCTTTTGAAGACGGAGAATTTAAGTTCTACTGGTTGGCCAAAAGTATCGTGTCTACAAATT